TGCTGTTTTTATATTTCCACCATTTTCTACTCAAAAAGCAATACCAACATGATCAAAAAGTGAAAAAGCCTCCTTTAAGCAAGAATTCAGTGCTTCAATCTTGGCACTGCAATTGTCAATCGATTGAATGAGAAAAAAAAGACATCTTTTGGGCTTTTCTTCCACATGCTGCATAAAACAGAAATTGCCCGGAATGCTAAAATTAATTTCCACTACTTCTGCCTCTATTTTAGGAACAAATGTCAACTCATGATAAGAACATTTATCATAAAATTATTTCTTTGCCTCGTCTAAAAAGCTTTGGAATAATTGCGATCAAAGGCTCCAGACTTGAAAAATGTGTTTCTAACCTCCTGTCATAGAACCTGTTACATGAGCGACCTTAGTCTCTGTCGTTATATAATATCACATCATGGTTTGTCAATTCATGTTAGAGAAACCTTAAAATTACCCAGGCTATAGATGAAAGATAAAACATGAGGGTGCTGAAAACACATTGATCATCAGGCAACACTTAACAACTCATTGATCATTATCAAGCAACACTTAACAAACCACTGATCATCATCAGGCAACACTTAACAACTCATTGATCATTATCAAGCAACACTTAACAAACCACTGATCATCATCAGGCAACACTTAACAAACCACTGATCATCATCAGGCAACACTTAACAAACCACTGATCATCATCAAGCAACACTTAACAACTCATTGATCATTATCAAGCAACACTTAACAAACCACTGATCATCATCAGGCAACATTTAACAAACCACTGATCATCATCAGGCAACACTTAACAACTCATTGATCATTATCAAGCAACACTTAACAAACCACTGATCATCATCAGGCAACACTTAACAAACCACTGATCATCATCAGGCAACACTTAACAAACCACTGATCATCATCAGGCAACACTTAACAACTCATTGATCATTATCAAGCAACACTTAACAAACCACTGATCATCATCAGGCAACACTTAACAAACCACTGATCATCATCAGGCAACACTTAACAAACCACTGATCATCATCAGGCAACACTTAACAACTCATTGATCATTATCAAGCAACACTTAACAAACCACTGATCATCATCAGGCAACACTTAACAAACTACTGATCATCATCAGGCAACACTTAACAAACCACTGATCATTATCAAGCAACACTTAACAACTCATTGATCATTATCAGGCAACACTTAACAAACCACTGATCATCATCAGGCAACACTTAACAAACCACTGATCATCATCAGGCAACACTTAACAAACCACTGATCATTATCAAGCAACACTTAACAACTCATTGATCATTATCAGGCAACACTTAACAAACCACTGATCATCATCAGGCAACACTTAACAAACCACTGATCATCATCAGGCAACACTTAACAAACCACTGATCATCATCAGGCAACACTTAACAAACCACTGATCATTATCACTGAACAAACCACCGATCATCAGGCAACAACTCATTGATCATCATCAGGCAACAAACAAACCACTGATCATCATCAGGCAACACTTAACAAACCACTGATCATCATCAGGCAACACTTAACAAACCACTGATCATCATCAGGCAACACTTAACAAACCACCGATCATCATCAGGCAACACTTAGCAACTCATTGATCATCATCAGGCAACACTTAACAAACCACTGATCATCATCAGGCAACACTTAACAAACCACTGATCATCATCAGGCAACACTTAACAAACCACTGATCATCATCAGGCAACACTTAACAAACCATCGATCATCATCAGGCAACACTTAGCAACTCATTGATCATCATCAGGCAACACTTAACAAACCACTGATCATCATCAGGCAACACTTAACAAACCACCGATCATCTTTAGGCAACACTTAGCAACTCATTGATCATCATCAGGCAACACTTAACAACTCATTGATCATCATCAGGCAACACTTAACAAACCACTGATCATCATCAGGCAACACTTAACAACTCATTGATCATAATCAGGCAACACTTAACACCTATTTTTCATCGTCAAGACCACACTTAACAAACCAAGGATCATAACCAGCTGAATCCATGAACAGGGAGTGGATCCTGGCAGCTAAGCATGAACAGCCATCTCTTTGCCCACTGGCTCACAAACTTTCTGTGAAACAATACTGCCATCCACTTTAAGTCCCCTATGTCTTCATTACAGAAAGGTCATTAGCATGTCCTGCCCATTAGAAGGCAATACTGTGAGTTGATGTCTTCGTGACATACCTTGATGACCCATATCCAGACTACATTGACACTAAACACAGCACCAGGACCTTCTATTTCTGATACATTGTCTTGCCTGACACACAGCCATATGACTCTTTCTACACACAAGGAATATGCCCAACACAGGCATATATAGTGGACTTTAACAGTATGTCATGGGATGCAAATGTACTCCATGTGATCGTGACTCTTGATGACAGTTTTCAGCTTTAACTACTACTAATTCAAACAATTATTATATTAACATTCTTCTATTAACCAGTAGAAAATGTTCCATCCAGACCATATACTGAACTGGATAACAGAAGTGTTTGAAATTGAACAGGTTTCATGGGCCTTTGAGGGCATTTTTAATAGTATTTGAAGATTGGAAGCCTTTAAATAATAACTTTGTGTATGTTACAAGGAATCCTTGACTTAAATGCAGCTTTTCATATAGTGAAACAAAGTACCAATAAACACCATAATGTTTAATTTCTCAGCCACAAAGTCTATTCCTTATCTCTGACAATGTCAGACATAGGGATCACAATGTGAGACATGATGACCACAATGTCAAACATGAGGACCACTATGTCAAACATGAGGACCACTATGTCAAACATGAGGACCACAAGGTCAGTCATGAGGACCACAAGGTCAGACATGAGGACCATAATGTCAGACATGAGGACCACAAGGTCAGACATGAGGACCACAATGTCAGAGATGAGGACCACAATGTCAGACATGAGGACCACAATGTCAGAAGTAAAGACCACAATGTCAGACATGAAGACCACAAGGTCAGACATGAGGACCACTATGTCAAACATGAGGACCACAAGGTCAGACATGAGGACCACAATGTCAGAAGTAAAGACCACAATGACAGACATGAGGACCACAATGTCAGTCATGAGGACCACAAGGTCAGACATGAGGACCATAATGTCAGACATGAGGACCATAATGTCAGACATGAGGACCACAATGTCAGAGATGAGGACCACAATGTCAGACATGAGGACCACAAGGTCAGACATGAGGACCACTACGTCGGTCCTAATGGTGTCAGACATGAGGACCACAATGTCAGAGATGAGGACCACAATGTCAGACATGAGGATCATAATGTCAGAGATGAGGACCACAATGTCAGACATGAGGATCATAATGTCAGACATGAGGACCACTACGTCGGTCCTAAGGGTGTCAAACATGAGGGCCACAATGTCTGACATGAGGACCACAATGTCAGAGATGAGGACCACAATGTCAGACGTAAGCACCACAATGTCAGACATGAAGACCACAATGTCAGACATGAGGACCACAATGTCAGACATGAGGACCACAAGGTCAGACATGAGGACCACAAGGTCAGAGATGAGGACCACAATGTCAGACATGAGGACCATATGTCAGACGTAAAGACCACAATGTCAGAGATGAGGACCACAATGTCAGACGTAAGGACCACAATGTCAGACATGAGGACCACTACGTCGGTCCTAATGGTGTCAGACATGAGGACCACAATGTCAGAGATGAGGACCACAATGTCAGACATGAGGACCATAATGTCAGACATGAGGACCACTACGTTGGTCCTAATGGTGTCAGACATGAGGACCACAATGTCAGAGATGAGGACCACTACGTCGGTCCTAATCGTGTCAGACATGAGGACCACAATGTCAGAGATGAGGACCACAATGTCAGAGCTGAGGACCACAATGTCAGAGATGAGCACCACAATGTCAGACATGAGGACCACAATGTCAGAGATGAGGACCACAATGTCAGACGTAAGGACCGCAATGTCAGACATGAGGACCACAATGTCAGACATGAGGACCACAATGTCAGACAGAAGGACCACAATGCCAGACGTAAAGACCACAATGTCAGAGATGAGGACCACAAGGTCAGAGATGAGGACCTCAATGTCAGACGTAAGGACCGCAATGTCAGACATGAGGACCACAAGGTCAGACATGAGGACCACAATGTCAGACAGAAGGACCACAATGTCAGACGTAAAGACCACAATGTCAGAGATGAGGACCACAATGTCAGACATGAGGACCACAATGTCAGACGTAAAGACCACAATGTCAGAGATGAGGACCACAATGTCAGACATGAGGACCACAATGTCAGAAGTAAAGACCACAATGTCAGACATGAGGACCACAATGTCAGACAGAAGGACCACAATGTCGGACGTAAAGACCACAAGGTCAGACATGAGGACCACAAGGTCAGACATGAGGACCACAATGTCAGACAGAAAGACCACAATGTCAGACGTAAAGACCACAATGTCAGAGATGAGGACCACAAGGTCAGACATGAAGACCACTACGTCGGTCCTAATGGTGTCAGACATGAGGACCACAATGTCAGAGATGAGGACCACAATGTCAGAGATGAGGACCACAAGGTCAGACATGAGGACCATATGTCAGACGTAAACACCACAATGTCAGACATGAGGACCACAATGTCAGACATGAGGACCATATGTCAGACGTAAACACCACAATGTCAGACATGAGGACCACAATGTCAGACGTAAAGACCACAATGTCAGAGATGAGGACCACAAGGTCAGACATGAAGACCACAATGACCACAATGTCAGACATGAAGACCACAATGTCAGAGATGAGGACCACAATGTCAGACATGAGGACCACAATGTCAGAGATGAGGACCACAGAGGACCACAATGTCAGACATGAGGACCACAATGTCAGACATGAGGACCACAATGTCAGACAGAGGCACCCACAATGTCAGAGATGAGGACCACAAGGTCAGACATGAGGACCACAATGTCAGACATGAAGACCACAAGGTTAGATATGAGGACCAGATGTCAGACGTAAACACCACAATGTCAGAGATGAGGACCACAAGGTCAGACGTAAGGACCACAATGTCAGACATGAAGACCACAATGTCAGACATGAAGACCACAATGTCAGACATGAAGACCACAATGTCAGACATGAGGACCACAATGTCATACAGTAGACATGCTATGTGAGCCAGCTCACGCAGTCCAGTTATCAAGTGATTAATGAACAGAGTTTGTCAGATACTGGGTCACAAATCATGTTTCTCATGCTATTTCAAGCTTGATGACACTAAGAACTTTTAACTGCAAGCAATAAAATCTGAAACCTGAATCTTTGCTAAATATTGATTAACTGTCACCACAGTGAACAGCTATGATTTCAAAAATATTCTTTTTCAATTTGTCTCATGTAAGCATTAACATTTCCCATATAGCTGGGCATTTACAACTCTGATGAAAATTATTTGATATTTTCTATTCTTTCACCCCCGTTTTCCTTGCCCTCTGTTCAAACCTGCTCACGTCTGTAGTGCCTATGAGAAACGAAGACTAGGTCCAATGTCCAATTAAACCAAGACATCTTTCCGGTAGTCCACCCTGTAATATTGATGGCGTCTCATTTCACAATGAGATCTTGATAAAACCCTATATTTGAGCAGTGTCTGAGTAGACTGAAGTTGTGTAGATGGATTTAATGCCGTCACTGGGATGCAAGGCTACTATATGCTTTTCTGGATGGAAATATATCATTCTTATACTCGTCTTGGTCAGCATGAGGCACAGTATGCAGTGTCCACTAGTTGGGTGAGTGAGTGAATGAGAGAGAGTGGGTGAGTTGGTTGGGGAGTGAAGGGGCAAAAAGATGGGGGTTGGTGAGTTGGTGGGTGAGTGAGTGAGTGGGGGAAGTTGGTTGGGAAGGGAGGGGCAAAAGGTGTGTGTGGAGGGGGTGAGTTGTAGAGTTGTAGGGGAGTGTGTGCATGTGTGTGTGGGGGGGAGGAGTTGATTTGGTAGGTGAGTGACTATGTATGTTGTTTAACAGAGTGAGAAAATATGTTATAATGAGGACTGTCTCAGTAACATAGCTTGATATATATATGCCGATAAATGTTTTAAGATGCTTGCATTTGATGATTGCAGAAGCTGCATTAAATTTTTGGATTGTTGATATTCATAAAAGTGTAAAGGTATATACAGTCGCCGCAATACTTGATATTTATTACAAATAAGTAAGAAGTGATATTCATCTTCTATATATGGCAATTTACAGATATTACATAATCTGTCATTTCTAGCCTCACTAATATACCTGCCAGTTTCTATTCGTAGTTTATGAGACCCGATCTAAACTGAGCAAGCGTACGCGTCTTTGTTTAAAAATAGCTTACTATGAAGATATAAGATTCAACACGGAACATAGGTTTAAACAACGTGTATCAAATGTTTTTGTGCCTTTATTAGTGCAGAATGCCAGTCCTGTTGATACGAAACTTTGGAGTCTACCAAGAAATTCATTTAAAAATAGCGTTTCACTTGAAGACCATCTGTTCTTGCCAAACAAATCCAAATCCATAGACTTCTAATATATGCTTTATCCTAGATGCCCAGCTCCTGCAACCATTACTTTCCATTTTGTACAAGCATGTTATAACATTTCTTTACATATCGCTCATTTGACATTTTCAATATTTTACACCAATATTTGATAGACCTGTTGATGGTATAAATATACAATGGATATCTTCCACATTAAGCCTCGCACAACATGCTTGAAACAGAGGATTTAATTCCTAGAAATCGTTTACAAGCTGCTACATGTATAACTTCTATTTAGTTAACAACATTCAGTCCCCATATATTTCTGCTCCATTATAATAAAAATTGGACAAACTTTGGTGTCGAAAATCTTAAAGAACAAGTGAAAAGGTAATGGCTTAAACATTGACAGTGATCTAAAAATACCAAATAAAACTTGCTTAGCCTGCAGACATACATTTTTCTGTAATTGCCGTGTTTGGTCCATACTAATGACCTACTGAATAAAATACCTAGATATTTGGATATTTGTACCAGGAAACACATTCTATTTGTACACCATTATAGAACCATTTTTCATACTTCGACAGTCTTCCACCTTTCTTAAAGACTATTACCTTTGTTTTTTCCATATTTACCGTCAAACAATTCTCAGAACAAAATATCTTTAGGACATCAAGTCTTTTCTGTAAACCAAACACTGTATCAGAGATAAACACAACATCATCAGCAAATAAAAGAAGAAATAACTGTACAAGTTCAGGATGAAGCTGAATTCCTGGTAATGCAACATGCTTCGATTTCATAAGCTAGTTCATTGATAAGAATAGAAAAAAGAAGAGGGCTTAGGATACACCCTTGTCGTAGACCCAATGGACAATCAAAACATGTTGATAAATTATTTTTGAATTTGACACACGCTTTAACACTTGCATAGAGGGCTTGGATTGATTTAAGCATTTTGCTGCTTACTCCTCTTAGCCTTAAAATATTCCACAGTTTTGTCCTATTCACGAAATTCGAAGGCTTTGGAAAAGTCTATGAAACATGCATACACTTTACCTCTCCTTTTGAGAGAGATAGCGTTCAATAATGGACTGTAGGATAAAATGTTATCAATAGTACTGTAACCTTTGCGAGAAACCCCGCTTGCGATTCAACGATTTTTTCATAGCAAAGAGCACCAAAATGTTAGTCTATTATTCAGAATATGTATGTACAGCTTGCTGAAGATACTTATGTAATTGATATACCTCTGTAATTGTTAACTACACTAGAGTCCCCTTTTTTATGTATAGGTACAATAAGACCCATACACCCGCGATTCTGGAAAATACCTTTCGATCAAACAGAACATTGAATAGCAACTGAATATAGGGAACTAAAATATCCTGTGAGGACTTAAAAATTCTGATATGATATGATCAGGCCCAGCACTCTTGGATGATTTTAGTTCTTTAATCGCACAGATCTCATCTCTTGTAATAGGAGCGTCAAGTATACTAGGGCTCACTGTGCAGCTTGACATGTGCATTTGTAAGAAATGTTAGTGTATAAACAAAAAAGCATGTTAAACAAACATGTTAGATGTAACATTATGATATTGAGGAACATGTAACATTAGAGTCAGGATCTCAGATCCATAGTTAGAAGACCCATGTAACACTTTAAGTGTTGGTTGATACGTAGGGTGTAACGTTAAATCAAACTAAATGCAGCCTGAGATTTTTAGTGCCTTGATGGCAATACACTGATAGCAATTCTAATAAAGAATCAGTAATATAAATGTTGGAATCAACATTTATCTGACATTTTGTTAATAGTATAGTTTCTTCAGTTTAGTTCCTTCACTTGTTAAAATACCCACAATATCCAGCACCACCTGAGACATGGCAATTCACCATTTATACAGGGGGGGCCTAATACACTGATTTTATATTGTGGACACAGTGGCAAATGACAGCAACTCACCATTTATACAGAGGGGGCCTAATACACGCCTACAATGAGTTTATATAGTGGACACATTGGCAAATGACAGCAACTCACCATTGAATCCACCAACCATCATCAGATCACTGTTACTGACAACTTGAAGCTAATGTTAAGTGTCAGGGAATGGATACATACATAATAAATGCCATAATTTAACAGAGCCATATCTGTGGTAGTTTGGCTATTATATAAACGTAACAATTTTTAGATTGAATTATCCAAAGACATATATATGTCTTTGAATTAGCAGAACATGCTTTGAGCCGGATATATTATAAGGTATCTTTAAACTTTAAACACTAAGATCTGTTAGAAATGGGAGGGTATACAGTTGATTGCTGTATCTCGCTTAGTTTATGAGAAAATAAACACACCTGTCTAAATCACTACAGATAAAAAAATGCCTAGCAGAACAGGAAATACAGTATAAATAGTGAATTATCATGTCTAGCAATGTTTTATTTCATTTTTGGCATGACTGAGCTTAGTTTTATGCCTATTTTACCAATATTCCAACAATGTCACGACAGACCACTGAATGGGCTTCACACATTGTACCCATTTTGGGAATCAAACCGGGTCTTCAGTGTGATGAGCAGATGCTTTAACCATTACGCTACTCCACGCCCCTTTTTAAATTATTTTTTTATCATGAGCAACAACTGTAGATATAACGTGTGGATGCAGTTTGTCCGTATATATCTGTACTAACAGTAGACCAGTATACTCCCACCCCAGATTCATGTGGTGTACATTTGGACCTGGGTAATCAGCTCCAAATAGAATATAACACGTTATATTTGGGATTACACTTTCTTAGTAAAGTACAGTTTTTTGTACTTTGTTAGGTTGAGTCCTATCCGGGATTCACCAAATAGAATAGTCATTTTGCATATCATAAATGAGCAGAACAAGTCCAAGACAGTCTTTCAGGAACTTGCAGAAATTCTACATTATATACAAGAAATTCTACATTATATACAAGAAATTCTACATTATATACAAGAAATTCTACAATTCCCATTGATAAGCTGTGAAATGATGTATCAGCTGTGCACATTTCCCAGTGACTATTTCCAAGTCACTTGGTGATGGGTTCACACAGTTCAGCAATACATATTCTGTATTCAGTAACAGTGCTGTGCAGTCTGCCAAAGTCAATCAGTCAGTGTGTGTTTCAACAGCAGCAGTGAGCAATGTATGAGTGAGTGAGCAGCAGCAGTTGAGATGTGTGGCTTATGCTCACTCATTGTTTGACAGCGGCAACATGTGTGATGTGGGTTGTTGACCCCAATTGTTTGACAGCTATCAAGTTGATCAAGTTTGTGATCATGAAATGTTTGACAGGAGCAATATGTTTGATGCAGTTTGTGTTCATTAATTGTTTGACAGGAGCAATATGTTTGATGCAGTTTGTGTTCATTAATTGTTTGACAGGAGCAATATGTTTGATGCCGTTTGTGTTCATTAATTGTTTGACAGGAGCAATATGTTTGATGCAGTTTGTGTTCACTAATTGTTTGACAGGAGCAATATGTGTGATGTGGGTTGTGTTCACTAATTGTTTGACAGGAGTAATATGTGTGATGTGGGTTGTGTTCACTAATTGTTTGACAATATGTGTGATGTGGGTTGTGTTCACTAATTGCTTGACAGAAGAAATGTGCAGTGTGAGTAGGTGCTGGGCTATCAGTTGCATGTTACAGAAGTGTATGGTTCCTCATTGAAAAATACAAAATGTTCAGACTCTAATCCTGTTTGAATCAGATTCCTTGAGGCATGGATAGGGACTACAGATGAATACAGTTCCATTTACAAACAGAGCATTCGGATTTCTTTTCCTCATAAAACCTACTAATGATCAGCACTATAGAGAACTAAAAGACTAAAGAGAACGTCTTCCCATCCCCAGCTGCCTCCAGCACATCCAAGACGGATATGCTAATAAGATGGCCATTTCTCCGTTAACGGGCCACGGAAGCAGTAAACCACTTGTCCACCTCAAGCAATAAAACTTGTTTTTACCACTACTGCTACATACAGGAAAAGGGAACCAAATGGTCCCCACAAGATATTTGAGTCTCTAAAGTTTCAACTCACAAACATCAAGCCAACATTGCCCTCCAGGAAGTTGTGTTAGAAGCTCATCTAAGGTGGCACGACACACTCTCAACACTTCACTTCCACACAAGGTGGTGTTTTCATATTGATTTTTACCATCATATGACTACAAACCCTGGTCCTTTGAGGTGTACCTTTTTGTTTTAAGGTGCCTGTTTTACAAGTCAGATTCAGCTTGCGTGATCCAAATTCTATACCCGAGTTGTTTACATTCTCGCAAACACAAATAGGGTTTTACAGACATCAGACTAAAAATACATTATATGCCCCCTGAAGGACAGAATCTATGTACACTTCCACAAGAAATATTTCAAAGTCTTAATTTAGGAATGAATGCAATAAATTGAATCCATACTTTGAAAGTCAGTTGAATTCTATTGGTGTTGAAGACAAACAAAGCCGTGGCATGTGTGCAACAATGGACGCAAATGGTCAAGTTAGCCACTGATGTCAGAACCCACTTTGCCCTCCATTGTGTCACGACCATATTGTCACCTCTCTGGGCATTGGAAGATGAAATTGAAAGGTGTTAGAAATATGTTATCAGATTTCCATCCAAAGTTTTTCAATCGGAGGCAGGTGGGGATGTCATGATTAATTTATTGTGACCTAATCTCCAATTTGAGTAAAACATCTTTTCTAGATAATTGGTGTTTCGAAAAAGGCAGCATTATATTTAATGGAAATTCCACAAGTCTTGATTACAATTAAGGCTATGTCCATGAGAAATAATTTGAGTTTGCACGAGATGTGTATACCAATTTTACAAAATACCAATTTTACAAAATTATAATATTGCATCTTGCTTTTAATGGATTGAGCGATCGCCACCGATAAAACTCTTAGTCACCAATAGTCAGTGCATGAAGCATTGATTGTGCTACAGACATGTTTGTACTAGGTATCCCTCACCGGGAAGTAATTATTTCAGAAATCTAGACACTCATGGAGAATGTCAAACCTAACATGACATCATGACACTGACAACTATCAATCACTCTTCCACAAACTTTTACATTGCCCCATTTTCAGAAAGTGTTCAGTTGCTGACTTCATAGGTTATTACTGCCATGTCTGGATGAGATTCAGTGGTGTTTGTCATTCATATCATTCTTGCAAGATGTCTGCGACACCAAACTTGAGAGCTCCACAAGACAGCCAAAAGTGGCACTTTCTGAACTAAATGCTATTTTATAGTGTTTTTATGATACTGAAGATTTAGAACAAGGCATCCAAGTTTAAAAATAGTAGATTTGAAATTTCAGTGGAATATCCCTGTAAGGATAGACAGTGATTATTGCTCAGATTTATAGAATTGAAAAATCAAACAAAGGTAAAGGACATACATGATTTACATTTCAACCAAAATGTAAAATAGTTGTATGAAGCCAATGGAATAATACATAATTCATTAGCAGAATTACGTACATGTACCGATCCGAATCTTGCACCAGTAGCACATGGAGCAGACGCAGCAGCAGGTGACCTTTCACTATTTGCAATGGAGATAACAAAAATAGCTTTACTATAAATATATCATAGATATGAAGTATCAATAATTACGACCATTGCTGAAGAAGAGCTATCAAGAGTCAAGAAAGTATGAGTTTGAAAATATCACATTTCCCATTGGATTTCACCATAACATGTGACTAAAGAATAGCATGAGCTCCTTGAACTCCATATACTGGTGCAACAATGTAGTTATTGGCTCCTTAAATCTGTTTCAGCAAATTGGTCTAATATCTATTTTTGATCTGCCCTCAAATATCCTTCATTTCTGTTGGTTATACAGAGACACTGTGATTCCACTGTACAACAATTCCTATGTATTACCATAACAGAATTCGAGGTTAATTCTAGCAGAACAATCAAGAATGTGTTACTCTCAATTTGAAACCTATAAATGAAACCTGCAGATGAATATATCAATAACCTACATATTGAGTCACATAAATTTGGCAGCTTACATGAGAACTGTATACACTTAATATCAGAATATTATTGGTTCCAAATTGAAAATACCAGGTGAGAACTGCTCAGAATTTAAAATAGTGCAGTTTTATCCTGCAAAAAGATTCCCTCTTTGTGGAGTTTTCTGGAAGACTAGCTGCCAGCCATGTTGTGTACGACCTCCCAAGTATTATGACCAGTATAACTAGATACCAATCCCATTGTAGCTACGTCATCATCCAGTTATCCAACTCAATGTCTTGTTACACAGAGAGTCTAGTGAACTGGTACACTGGGTCTCACCAGCAGCACACCACTAAGTACCCTTCTGGGCAGCACACAACCAAGTACCCTTCTGGGCAGGACACCACCAAGTGCCCTACTGGGCAGCACACAACCAAGTACCCTTCTGGGCAGCACACAATCAAGTACCCTTCTGGGCAGCACACAACCAAGTACCTTTCTGGGCAGCACACAACCAAGTACCCTTCTGGGCAGGACACAACCAAGTACCCTTCTGGGCAGGACACCACCAAGTGCCCTACTGGGCAGCACACAACCAAGTACCCTACTGGGCAGCACACAACCAAGTACCCTTCCCTTCTGGGCCCTTCTGGGCAGGACACACACAACAACCAAGTACCCTACCCCTTCTGGGCAGCACACAACCAAGTACCCTTCTGGGCAGCACACCACCAAGTACCCTTCTGGGCAGGACACCACCAAGTACCCTTCTGGGCAGCACACAACCAAGTACCCTTCTGGGCAGCACACAACCAAGTACCCTTCTGGGCAGCACACCACCAAGTACCCTACTGGGCAGCACACAACCAAGTACACTGGGCAGGATACACAACCAAGTACCCTTCTGGGCAGGACACAACCAAGTACCCTTCTGGGCAGCACACAACCAAGTACCCTTCTGGGCAGGACACAACCAAGTACCCTTCTGGGCAGCACACAACCAAGTACCCTTCTGGGCAGGACACCACCAAGTACCCTTCAAGGCAGGGGCAGCACAAGTAAGTACCTTCTGGGCACACAACCAAGTACCCTGGGCAGCACACAACCAAGTACCCTTCTGGGCACACACAAGGCAAGTACCCTTCTGGGCGGGCACCACCAAGTACCCTTCTGGGCAGCACACCAAGTACCCTTCTGGGCAAGTACAGCACACCAACCAAGTACCCTTCTGGGCTGGACACCACCAAGCAGGGACACCACCAAGTACCCTTCTGGGCAGCACACCACCAAGTGCCCTACTGGGCAGCACACCACCCCTTCTGGGCAGCAAGTACCCTTCTGGGCAGCACACCACCACCAAGTACCCTTCTGGGCAGCACACACACCAAGTACCCTTCTGGGCAGGACACACCACCAAGTACCCTCACTGGGCAACACAACCCTTCTGGGCAGGACACCACCAAGTACCCTTCTGGGCAGGACACCACCAAGTACCCTTCTGGGCAGGACACCACCAAGTACCCTTCTGGGCAGGACACCACCAAGTACCCTTCTGGGCAGCACACCACCAAGTACCCTTCTGGGCAGGACACCACCAAGTACCCTACCAAAGTGGGGCAGGACACCTGCCAAGTACCCTTCTGGGCAGGACACCACCTGGCAGCCTGCCCTTCTGGGCAGCTGGGCATACAGGAAGTTTCTGGGCAGGGACACCACACAAGTTCACAGAAGCAGAACACACAACCAAGTACACCACCAAGTATGTTACCCTTCTGGGCATACAGGATTTACATACAGAAGTTTACAGAAGCAGAACATAAGTATGTTATTTTCACACCAGGTTTCAGCAGCAGGATACCACCAAGTACAATCATTGATGCCATAACATCAGACACAGCCAGCAAACCATGAACTCTGTGGGAATCATTGAAGCATAGCATAGACACAAAACTTCACTCAGGCCCCAGACTCATCGATGTGACAAACAGCTGAAGGGTGTGAGCCACTGCTCTGTGTACATGTAGAATACATACATCCAGGAGGTTGTTCAGGTGCTGCTATATAGAGTCCACTTCTATTTCTATACAGTATCTCCTGCACAGTATATTGTACATGTATGTGTGTTGATATGCCTGGGACAAGACACTGAACAATTGTCTGCTCTGAAGCATAGAGTAACAATATGCACCACATACCATAAGCTTGCATATTGTTTGGCTGAGTAACATATATGATCATAAAGAAATGAAACTTTTTTCTGAATATACTCAAGTGCAAAAACATAGACCTGAAGAAGCTAGTTTCCCCAGGACTGACACAGAGTCACGGACAGTCTGCAGTATGGATGAATTTTTTACAACCCTGGCAAACAAATGTGTAAAGGAAGTCATTGAAAATCAATGTGTCTATTTTCTAACCACAAAAAATTAACCTTAGTTTGATATGGCGTACTTAAGGGGCAAGACCTTTTCTGATTTCCGTGAGCATTGGTAATGAATCTTAAATCCATATGATGTGTACACAGGGGAATAGCACCAACTCACATTCATCACATCTTCCAGAGATGCTTTATCCACAGTAAGCAGTAATTCTCCTGTGGTCTCATTTAATACTCCACACAAGCCTATCAAATGTTTCATTTTCAACTTTAACCCCAAATCATTTAACAGAGTACAATATTCAACTGTGTCTGTACTTCTCAAGTGATGAAACATGTTGGACAGAAATACTTCAACCTGACAAGGTACCAGATAATGGCTGTGGCTATTTCATACATGGGGTACCTATCAACCGAAGTTCACCAGATTCAATAACCCTGTACACTGCAGTAGTCTCTGGCCAGTACATCCCCTACTGTCCTCTCCACTCAGTCTTTACTAAAGGTAATGCTGTGACCTTAACCAACCAAGATTTTCCACAGGTTCCGAATCTCCCATCTCACTGGATTTCTTTTCAATTTAAATGTAGTTGTTAGTTTCTAACAAAATGATATAATTTCAAAGACCAGTCCAACCCTGCAGCAGTAAATAAAAAGGAATAAAACTGTTGTTGTTGATGAAAGTTTTCCCCTAATTGTTTTCATGTATCGTGTGTTAATGATGACAAGAGTAGTACAATGTGTTTTGTAAGTGATTGTTATGCATCAATGTGTGAGAGCAAATAGCAACAGGAAAAACCTGCAATCAAGCCTCTTGAGCCAGTTCAGCTGTCATGATTGGTTGCAATAAGCACATGAAGATTGGGATTCCTCCTCCAGTGTTTCCTGGGAGATGATTTTAATAGAGAAAGAATGCATTCTCAGAACTTCATGATAATGGTAGAATCTGGATCAGAACACATGCCTTGAGCCCCAAGTTAAAGTGACATCATTGTTGGAATAAGTTTCAGCTGCAAGGAGTATCCAATGGCATGGTGTGGAAAACACAGAAAAATACATTCTTTCTTGATTAGTATTGATACATTTGGTCCACTGAATACATGCTGATGACAACACAGCAAGTAAGCACAGTACACACCACACGATTATACTACGATTATACTCCAAGGCAAGAGTTATGGTTTATTCATTGGTAATCTTGTGAATGAGCTTTTGCATTTGAACCTGAGACAATGTGTGTTATAATGGTCAAAGAAATGCAACCAAGTAGTTCATGTTTGACTTGCATGACAATATTGGAGACAATTCAACAAGAATGTTCATTTTCAAGCCCAGACAACCAGATGCTTATCATTTCCATTAAATGGAGTTTTAAGATGTGCAGAAGTCAGAAAAAAACTCTATTCATCATTCTTGAATGACTTTCCACGACTTGGGGAAAGTGACCGACAGAGAGCTGTGGGAATGATTCAGTCTGGTACCTTGAAGTGTGTCATTGCTTGTTGATTCAGTGTCAACAAAAACACCATTCGGTAAAACCAACCAAGGTTTATCTCCGCAGTGGTCATCCAACTTTAATGACAATGGAATAGAAACATGCGCCTCTAGCACAGGTACCAGCCAGCAACCCTTACAGCACGTACCATACCTGGCAAAAGAGGTGTATCTTCGAGAACAGTTAACATCTCAGGTCTATGTTATCCGTACAAAATGCCCAGCCCCACGGCCACTCACGATGCCAGAACATCATCTCCATGGAGCAGGCAACACTCGTGATAGGGGGTATTTGAGTGAGTGGAAGAGATTTCTCTTCATTGATGAATCATGTTTCCGTCTTCAACAGACTGACAGGACCCGTGTCTACAGGCACACAGGTGAACCTTACATCAGACAATGTGTTCTGAAAGGGGACTGTTTTGGACGTGGTGGCATTGTGATCAGGGGTTGGGTATCAGCTGCAGCAAGAATGCCAATGGTTGTGACAAAGGTGAACTTGAAAGCTGTACGGTGCTGAGACGAGATTTTCCAACTGGCCACTTTACCATTTTTGCTACAGGACTGACCTTTAGTGACGTTTCAACATGATAACCTCAGACGAGACATTGCTCGAGTTGTACGACAGTATCTTAATCCGAATAGTGTTAAGTGTTACCCTGGCCCATTGAACATGTCTGGGATGAAATTGAATGACATTTACGACATCATCTGAATCTCAAACAACGCTGCATTAACTCTGCCAAATTATTCCTCGGATATGGAATGATCTTCCCCAGGACTTTCATTGATATTTAGTGTCCTCAATGTGGTGAAGGTGCCAGGCCTGCTTCAATGTACGCTGCAGACATTTTATGTATACCCGGGATGATCCAACCGATACAATCATTATCAAGTGTTGTTGGAGTCCAAGCATGTGTTGTACAACAGATACTATCTACTCAATGCATCTTTTATCTGGTGCACAGGTTAGATCACAGTTGAAATCTAGCTAATGAATCCTTTATTTAGTACACAAGTCCTGGCACGCGTTATACCAAAGATATAATCTAGTAGAACACTGGGTTATGATGTATTTTTAATTATTTTCACAACATTGTCAGATCAATGCTTCATTCAATATCCCCAGGCTACCTTAATGAGATTAACCCAGATGTATGTATGCTCTGCAACCACCAGCGCTATCAAAACATGGATCCAGTTTTTCTGATGATAATCAGAGGCACCAGGACATGACACGCTGTTAAATTTCCATCCACTTTAATATTTCTTCTGGATGGAATCTTCATGATTGCCTGAGACAAGTGTAATACATGGGTGCGGCGACTGCAGCCAGAGCAGACAACATGGACAAGGCCAGCTGATGTCCAACATTTCAGGTTCACATATTGTAATAATGATGAATCACACGGTCTACTCCATACTGGGAGAAGTTTCACAGCTGTCTGTTGGTCTTGTCAGAAAGGTTTCTTTTCCCAAGCCAGCATACAGCCATAAGTGTACAGCGGAACTGTAAGTATGCCTGACTTTCAGCATCCACTGTGGTGCTGGTGAACCACCTCGTCCCTGTGTGGATGAAGAAGTATGTTGCTCATGTGTCAGAGCTGCTAATTGAAAACTGTTCTTCATCAAGTACCCTGAGGGCAATACCCAAAACAGGCTCCACAAAGTACCCTGTGGGCAATACACAACACAGGCTCCACAAAGAACCATGTGGGCAATAACCAACACAGGCTCCACAAAGTACCCTGTGGGGGATACACAACACAGGCTCCACAAAGTATCCTGTGGGGGATACCCAACACAGGCTCCACAAAGAACCCTGTGGGGGATACCCAACACAGGCTCCACAAAGAACCCTGTGGGGGATACCCAACACAGGCTTCACAAAGTACCCTGTGGGAGATACCCAACACAGGATCTACAAAGTACCCTGTGGGGGATACCCAACACAGGCTTCACAAAGAACCCTGTGGGGGATACACAACACAGGCTCCACAAAGTACCCTGTGGGGGATACCCAACACAGGATCTACAAAGTACCCTGTGGGGGATACCCAACACAGGATCCACAAAGAACCCTGTGGGGATACCCAACACAGGATCTACAAAGTACCCTGTGGGAGATACCCAACACAGGCTCCAAAAGTACCCTGTGGGAGATACCCAACACAGGCTCCACAAGGCTCCACAAAAGTACCCTGTGGGGATACCCAACACAGGCTCCACAAAGAACCCTGTGGGGATACCCACAGCACAGGCTCCACAAAGAACCCTGTGGGGATACCCAACACAGGCTCTACAAAGTACCCTGTGGGGATACCCAACACAGGCTCCACAAAGCACCCTGTGGGGATACCCAACACAGGCTCCACAAAGTACCCTGTGGGGATACCCAACACAGGATCTACAAAGTACCCTGTGGGGATACCCAACACAGGCTCTACAAAGAACCCTGTGGGGATACACAACACAGGCTCCACAAAGTACCCTGTGGGGGATACCCAACACAGGATCTACAAAGTACCCTGTGGGGGATACCCAACACAGGCTCCACAAAGAACCCTGTGGGGGATACCCAACACAGGATCCACAAAGTACCCTGTGGGAGATACCCAACACAGGCTCCACAAAGTACCCTGTGGGAGATACCCAACACAGGCTCCACAAAGTACCCTGTGGGGGATACCCAACACAGGCTCCACAAAGAACCCTGTGGGGGATACCCAGCATAGACCCCACAGTAAGAAGTACCCTGTGGGGATACCCAACACAGGATCTACAAAGTACCCTGTGGGGATACCCAACACAGGCTCCACAAAGAACCCTGTGGGGGATACCCAACACAGGATCTACAAAGTACCCTGTGGGAGATACCCAACACAGGCTCCACAAAGTACCCTGTGGGAGATACCCAACACAGGCTCCACAAAGTACCCTGTGGGGGATACCCAACACAGGCTCCACAAAGTACCCTGTGGGGGATACCCAACACAGGCTCCACAAAGAACCCTGTGGGGGATACCCAACACAGGCTCCACAAAGTACCCTGTGGGGATGAACCCTGTGGGGATACCCAGCATAGACTCCACAAAGTACCCTGTGGGGGATACCCAACACAGGATCTACAAAGTACCCTGTGGGGGATACCCAACACAGGCTTCACAAAGAACCCTGTGGGGGATACACAACACAGGCTCCACAAAGTACCCTGTGGGGGATACCCAACACAGGATCTACAAAGAACCCTGTGGGGGATACCCAACACAGGCTCCACAAAGAACCCTGTGGGGGATACCCAACACAGGCTCCACAAAGTACCCTGTGGGGGATACCCAACACAGGATCTACAAAGTACCCTGTGGGGGATACCCAACACAGGCTCCACAAAGAACCCTGTGGGGGATACCCAACACAGGCTCCACAAAGTACCCTGTGGGGGATACCCAACACAGGCTTCACAAAGAACCCTGTGGGGGATACCCAACACAGGCTCCACAAAGAACCCTGTGGGGGATACCCAACACAGGCTTCACAAACAACACTGTGGGGGATACCCAACACAGGCTTCACAAAGAACCCTGTGGGGGATACCCAACACAGGATCTACAAAGTACCCTGTGGGGAATACCCAGCATAGACTCCACAAAGAACCCTGTGGGGGATACCCAACACAGGCTTCACAAACAACACTGTGGGGGATACCCAACACAGGCTCCACAAAGTACCCTGTGGGGGATACCCAACACAGGCTTCACAAAGTACCCTGTGGGGGATACCCAACACAGGCTCCACAAAGTACCCTGTGGGGGATACCCAACACAGGATCTACAAAGTACCCTGTGGGGGATACCCAACACAGGATCTACAAAGTACCCTGTGGGAGATACCCAACACAGGCTCCACAAACAACACTGTGGGGGATACCCAACACAGGCTTCACAAAGTACCCTGTGGGGGATACCCAACACAGGATCTACAAAGTACCCTGTGGGGGATACCCAACACAGGCTTCACAAAGTGAAATTCAAAACTGGTGACCACAGACATCCACAAAATAGCGCAGTCATCTTCCTGGGGTTCACGACCTCAAGAGTTTTTCAAAATTACTTGGTCATAAGTTTACAATCTGTCACTCATGGGTTTTAATGCCAGCAAACCAGCAAACCCTTTCTGATATCATTGAAAATCTGCGCAAAAAGCAGAGTCTTTGTATGAATGTAGGCATGTGTTAATCAAACAGTGTTGATACCAGGAAACATATACTCTGCTGGTGGAACCATCACAAACACATACAAAGGCAGGTGAATTATTCATCTGAAACAGCACATGGAACATATGGAAAAAGTCAAAAGTTATGTCACTGGTGCAATAATTTTTGGACATGTCCACCATGTTGGTACTGCTTTTTCATCCATCCATCCATACATACATCCATACATACATACACAGGATTCAAGGACAGTATTTGCAATAGACCAATTTACACAAAATTTTGCTTAACATTCATTTCAGGATTATTTCTTGTTAAACTGACACAAAGTTTGATGTATTTTACACAGTGACCTGATGTTTGATGAATGTTTCCAATGACCTAAGTGAGGAAAGCTCATATTGACCCAGGTCACAGCCGTATTCAACATTGAAAAACACATTGAATATGAAAGTTAATAGCCAACCAAGTTGGAAAATATTTTTAAATAGATAAACATAACATAACTGATGAATAAGCCTCTGTGATTACCACTGATCCGAATTGTATTACTGCCATTAACAATTACCATTTTGATCAAGTAGAGTATTATTCGCCAATTTAATGAACTATGCAATCTGTCTCATCGTCTGCTTCCCAGTATTAAATATTCATGTTAGAGAGGGAGAGAAGATAGGTGACCTAAGGTTGGCTATTATCTGTGGGAGAACAAATGTACGTGCTTGACCCCAAGGAACTGGCATCCCTCTCTTGTCCCTGGGATCACTAGGACACCTGCCCTATCCGAAGGACCTCCTTGACATGCCGACTGCCCCCAAAACCTCCTTGACACATCGCTAACCCCCAGGACCTCTAGGACACCTGCCCCACCCAAAGGACTTCCTTCACACCTCCCCTACCCCAGGAACTATAGGACACCTGCCCCACCCAAAGGACTTCCTTGACACCTCCCAGGACCTAAAGGACACCTGCCCCACCCAAAGGACTTCCTTGACACCTCCCATACCCCCAGGACCTCTAGAACACCTGCCCCACCCAAAGAACTTCCTTGACACCTCCCCTACCCCCAGGACCTTAGGACACCTGTCCCACCCAAAGGACTTACTTGACACCTCCCCTACCCCCAGGACCTCTAGGACACCTGTCCCACCCAAAGGACTTCCTTGACACATCCCCTATCCCCCAGGACCTGCTTGACACCTCCCCTACCCCATCCTCTAAACCATTTCCCTAGCCCCAGTAAGTCACAGACACCTTACCAACCCCTAGGGCCCTTCCACTACCCCAAGACCTGAGGGACCCCTCCTGAACCAATTTCTGAGTAAGCCTGTGGGTTTCGGTTTGGCAGGAAGTTGGTGTCCCCATAAGCTCCTGGTATATAGATTATGTCATATCATTCAACACTTATGTACATCTGATGTCATCAGCACAAGACAGTGCCTCATGATATAGTTGTAGAGTTGTCTATGTGTTGACTCTTGGAAATTATCATTGAAATGGTCTTGTCACTTTTGCCAGGAAATTCATGGGATGTTCCTGCAACCTAGGTTCCCTTGTTGTTTTAACTATGGTGGACATTTGTTACAATCTGCCCTTCCAAAATTACATCATGCCTTGTGCAAGACTGACAAAAATTCAAAAGAACACTGTACCATTTATATGATATATTGATGGGTGAACACTGTACCACTTACACAATACATTGATGGAGGAACAGTGTAAGTTTAGGCGATACACTGATGGTGGAACACTGTACCATTTACACAATACATTGATGGAGGAACATTGTATCATTCAGGCGATACATTATTAAATGGAGGTACAGTGTAATTTTAGGCAATACATTGATGTGGAAACAGTGTACCATTTACACAATATATTGATGGGGGGGACGACTGCACCATTTGCGTGATGTATTGTTAGAGGAACAGTGTACCATTTATGCAATATATTGATTGGGAGACAGTGTACCATGTACGCAGTATATTGATGGGATGGATGGGCGTGTACCATTTAGGCTATATATTGATGGAGGAACAGTGTACCATTTACACAATTGATGGGGGGTTAGGGACTGTGTACCATTTGTGTGATATATTGTCAGAGGAACAGTGTAGCATTTATGTGATATATTAGCAGAGGAACAATGTCTCATTTACATCTGATGACATTGCATGAAAAACGACATTTTCGTTAAGAGGGCCTGAATTTCAAGTCAATAGTGCAATTCACTCCTCTAAACCCTAAAAGTACTGTCCGGAAACCTGAATATGCCTAATGCAACTCCACCTAGTACCTTAAGGTGGAGTGCCATTATCTTTTCCAAGTAACATTAAGAATTACCTACTGGTACATGTACTCTATACAAGCTAATGCACAACCTACTTCACTAAATACTGGCACTGGTGTTTGAACTTCATTGAAGAACATGTTCTAAATGTAATTTCGCTGAAGCAAATTGAGATATTTGCAAACTGACACATCCCCTATGAATGTATGCTGTTCTTATGTTGCCCACAATGCCGTTCTATGAACACTGTGGAGTAGATGGCACAGTAAATGGATGATTAGTCCGAGATCCAGAGAATACGTTTAATGTTAATTGGATTCCAATTGTGTGAACAAGGACGGAGATGAAGGCCTTTGACAGCAGCCTGGGAATGCTGAAATTAGCCAATCAATCATAACTTGGCCCGGAGGAAATTAGTAAAACACTTGGTCGCTCAAACAATTTCGCAACAAATGGAAAAAAATATACTCATACATGAATTTTGAAAATGAAGCAAGCACGGGTCACTACTCCCCCTTATGATAACAAATTAATGTCGTTAGTATCGATAGGAGTGTGGCTTCAAGGAACGATTGCATAGGGCACAAGGCACTGGTCCAAGCCTGGGTATTATCTTGTAATTGAAATCTCCAACCTTGACTTGCCACAACAGTAAGTCGGCTAATAGTTTCCAATTTGGAGACTTAAAAGCTTGTCAGAGTGAAAGAGTGTGATTTGAACTGTTGGATATGATGAATTAGGAGAAGAGGAGTCCAAGCCAATGAGGCTGATGCTGACTACAGGACAACATGTCAGCTGTGTTCTGAATCATTGCTTTAGGATCAGCTTGTGATGTGGAAACAGTGAATGGACTTGTCAGTGTTGATGTCACTGTTTCAGATTTAGGTGGGAGGAATGAAACCAAGTGACCATCATCACAGATGGTAGATGTTTGCAACTTCTGTGAAAGCAGTAAAAACATCGGTGCTGATTGTACATGGGTGAATATGTGATTTGAAACCTCGTTCATCTCAAGGTTGCAACTTCCTACAGAGAAATGCTTCACAATACAGGTTATAACTACAACAGTAACTACCAACAGGACACACATGCTGCCAGCCAAATCAGGGCAGTTCTGCAGGAATTGTCTCATGTTTTAGACACACAAGTTACCTCTGGAAGAAACTTCCTTTTGACATGTTACTCAGCTGTTTAGTAATTGGGCAAATCTAAACCCACAATCAGTGGATCCTGACAGCAAAGGGACTCAACTCTATTTGTGAGTTCTCCTACCTTAGACATGTGGGTCAAGCTACCTCTGTAAAGGAAGACATCTTACAATGCCTGACATCAGACAGCAGTAAACAGACCCGTGTCAAGATGTGTGTAACTTTCCTATTTTCATCAGTTCCCCATCACAAACAAATGTCACAGATGAGCTCGTATGAACACGTGACATCTAACACCAAGTACACGCAGGTGTCTGAGTGTCAGTACCACCAATTAAATCCTCATTCTGTGATCAACATGAAGATCCTGGAGGTGTCAACATGGTGCCTTCACCAAGTTTATACTTACACCACTACACTTCCTGGTCAAAACTGGAAGGCTGTTCCTCACTAATTAGAGGTTATTTCTGAGAGAACCATACCTGAACTAAGAGAGGAGTGAGACGAATGTTGTTTAGATTACCTGTGTCAATAAGTCAGCCTTTGCTTTAATTGCCAGAAAACCCATTCTTTCTGTTATTTAACAGTATACTGGGTCAGTCTATCATTTATTCAACCAGCGGTTTGTTTATTGAGGGAGAAAGAACCCTAGGATCACAGTACAGAGAGGTACTATATCACAAGCCTGCCATGTGGTGCTGCTGCTGCTGCTGTAATGTCAGGGTACATGGCAACAACTTCACATGAATAGCAAACCACATCTTCATTATTAATAACAGAAGCATAGACATTCATAGATCTGTAGGTTTTTAGAGAAGGACAAATTTACAACTGGCTGCTGTCTCAGGGTAAAAATGCTATCAGAAACTTTCAGAAAATTGTTTATGGATATTTTAGACTTTGTATCTTGGAAAATCAATATTAATTTTTTCAGCCAAAATGTTTAACATTTCAAACATGTAGGGTCATATTGAAAATTCATTACTTACGCAGACTTCCCTGAACCAATTTACTTTTACATAAAATTACCCCACCACAGATGACTCTTTACAAACTTATACAGGGGAGAAGTTATGGTTAAATATAACAACAGTTCTTTCAATTTACAGTTAAATACAAAATTAACTTGGTATGCTTTGTTGTTCCGCTTATTTTATGTTCCTTAACAAGTTCAGTGTCAATTGGTCTCTAAGCTGCATGCATATCTATCTTTTGACAGTCCACATATACACCTATGACCCTGTACACCATAGACCCTATGGTGAAGCTGTCTCCCATAAATCTAATGTTAACTTGTAAACTTATCAAATACTTTCCATGTAAAGCAACTGAGCACTCAGTGTAGATAGCCTTCTGTAAATAAGCAGGACAATCACATTTAATCTGGCATAGCCAACTATCAAGTGATTTGCCAGCAGATGCCATTTGAGAAATTGTAATTGGAAATGAGAATTAGCCCCAATTCTAGGGCCTCTGTTGGAGATACACTTTGATTTACTGCTCTCTGGTTCACTATGCGATTCCTCATCTCCCTATCAACACAATCACAACATTAAAGGAGACAATTTGTAGACATAGCTCTCACATAGACTGATATGTTGCTGGTATCTTGGGATTTCAAGCATTAGTGCCTCCACGCTCAGCGGTGGCACTTCAATCACTAGTGAGGATGTTATGTCAGAGATGCCTGGGACATCACTGTTTCTGTAATTGCAACTCGCTGCTATGCCACTGGCGCCACTGCCTAATATCTAGTTCTATCTACTGCAGTGATCATACAATAATGTCAAATATGGTCCTCTTGCTGCCGAGCTAACTGATGTTGTGAAGTGTGAGACACCGATTCAATCTAACTCCACTTAATTGTACCTTTGAGCTACAATGACATAGGGACCAGTTGTCAGACAATGTCAGTTTTCTAATGAATTAAAACATTGCAACTTTATGGGTATTCCAACTTACATGGCCATTCACACCTGTATATATCCACTGCAAAGAATTATTTTTAAAATATTTGAAAGTGACAAATGCAAAAGAGCTACACACATGAAAGAATCCTTGAAACACAAAATCAGGGAGTATATTTTATACCTTTGGCTTAGTTGATCATGGCATCATCCAACAGAAAGCTTCCTCACTATGTCAGCTTTCTGACAGATTAACCTCTGTAGTCGTGTGGACTCACATCTGAAGGTCCACTATTAACATCCCAGGAATGTTATGGACCATACATTGACAAAAGGGCGAGCATTTATTTCTATCCAAAATGTATGTAAAATACCTAATATATATTTGAATGTTTATGTTGGATAGACCTTATCATGTTCCGCCAACTTGAGAAAATGACTTGATCTATCAAAAATCACACATGAAAAAGGCATTATAGCAAATTTGCTACTTAAAAATCACTTTTTGTAATTAAAATACAAACCAGAAAAATATATAATATCAGGAATGTTTAAAAGGATAAGGTTTTTGTTATGATGTATTTTTAACCCATCTTTACAGTTCTTGGCGACTGTTTGCCAGCATTCGCCATCACTTGTCAATATGCAATGTCAGCCCAACCTTCACAGTTAACGAGACACCAGAACCTGCTCAATTAACAACTGCATGGCACACCTGTCAATCAGGAAGGGAAACTGACAGAAATCTACACTTGTCATTAATGGTTATCAGGTCAAAGTCAGGCAATATCAAGGACCTGATGTGTGATAATAACATATTTA